CAATTTCCAAAGCCTTCATTTTCGGCTGAACATTAAATGTGATTCCACTATCACTTGGAATTTCAACATATTCCTCCATGCTTGCATCAAAATACCCAGAACGGTTACCGTTCCAGAAAAATGTGACATGACCAAATTTGACAGTCTCACTGAAAAAGATAAAAAACATGACAAAGACTCTTGTCAGTGGTACACTTCTATTAATCATAATGAAACAAAACAACCAAAGAAAAATTCATGTGTCACTGTTGTGATCGCATTAGATAGAAAACAAAAACAACCAGCATGCCAAACAAAGAATACTCAAGAGAACTGGAGAAGAAATTTCCCTCATGCAGAGAAACATGAAATTATATAAATAAGAAAGAAATGAAATATGAGACAAGAATACTCAAGTTGTTAGAAATCAGTGTAAAAGACAATCCGACAACGGAAGTTCCTTGGGGCCTAAAATTTAAAATTGCATAGTATTGTACCTGCAAGCAAAAGTCCGGATGTCATTGTGCACCAAGTATTCACCCGAGGTTCTCTCTATCTCTGGAGGAGAAACAAGGTAATGACTAGGAAGCTTCAAATCACCATTATCATACTGAAGCATCCGACATATCGAACTTTGGAAAACGAAACTTCTGTCGAATTTGTCGAAATCTTCATATTCAAGTGCTTTAGCAAGCATAGTCATACGGTCTGCTCGGAAGTTAAATGTTACCACTGCATCACCATCCACTATAGGTCCAACTGCTTTCCCATTCTCATCAACTATAACAAAAGGAGGCAAGTACTGGTCATTGGCTTTGGGATCCTTCCGGAGTTCTTTCACAGCTTCAATGGCATTACGAAACTTGAAAGGTGCTTCACCTAGAACCTGGGCATCCCAGCCACGTTTCACAACGCTCCAGTCATTCTGCAATAAAAAAAAAACAATAAATAAGGTGCTACATTTTTAAAGAAACAGCTACCAGATCTTCTGAGATGCATTAGTACCACTGACAGCCAAAAATAAACTATTAACAGAAAAGATTAGCTCTTGGTGTTTTTGTAGCACAATCACAAACTGTTTGCAAGGGCATTAATTAGAGAAAAACACTTCAGCACCATAGTTGGGCTGTTAAATTATTCAATAAAAATTGCTAGATTGTCTGAGATGCAGCAGCATCAATGGACAAGAGAATTATTTAATCAGAGACATATCAGCTTGTTGAAATTTTTCTAGCACATACCAGCATCATAATTGCAGACTGCATACAAGGAAAAAAAATAATACAGAACAGAATCTGCATCAAATTTCAAATAGAACTATTCCAATATCATAATAATACTCCCTTTAAAAGTGGAAGTTCTGAAAAATCTTTCATTGCTCGATATTACCCCTGATTCAATTTACCAATTTCAAATCAAACCAATTAAATATAATTTGTTTGTGACAAAAATACCAAATTCCTTTTTTTTTTTTTTTTTTTGGGGGGGGGGGGGGGGGGCGAGG